GCCCACACACACGGACGCGGAAGACGTAACGAGCACGAGAGCACCACACGGAAGCAGACGGACCCACGGCACCACCCGCAGCCATCAAAAAGGCAAGGATACCCACACAGGGCATCTCACGAACCAGCCCGCGACCAACAGCACGCAGCTGACGACCGCACGGACGGAAGGCCACAGCGTGTCTGGATGGTCCTAAACTGGCCTGGACGTGAAAAATATGTGCGACCGTCCCACCCGCGCCGTGCAGCGCCCCCAGGCCGAAAAACTTCGCAACTTTGGGACTTACCGTCCCGGTAAATTCGCGATATAGGCAAGTATCGCGAGAATGAGCGAGAAACACGAACGGCTTTTACGGCAATTCCACATAAAGCAGCACAGCCATCCGTCAAATAAACGGTTAGTGTATATATGTATTACCCACCCTCGGTAGATATGCTCCACAGCGAAAAAGTTGCCGGTAAAAAAGGCACATCAGCAGCGGTAGAAAGGGGGCAGGAGTGGCCGCTACAGTTGAGTTTTTTTGTTACGAAGTGTTGTGAAATACACGTCCCAGGGGAGCTTAGGTGGAGCTCGTTGAGAAAAACAGTGCGAGTGAACAAGAGTACAACCGGCGAAGAATGGTTAGAGTTGCCAAGTTGCCAAGTTCCCCTTTAAATCAAGTGAAGCACATTCTCACACGTTGATTTTGAAATCAAGGAATATGATGATAATAATAAAACAAAGTACTTCTCCATTTGGAATTTCACTTTCCACTTTACTATACCTGTCTAATGAGCATAAAGTGATTTAAAACACCCTCTTTTTTTGTTTAAACTACTAATCATGATCACACAGACAGATTTTGATGTGCAATGTTGACAATGTTGACTTTTACTTTACTTTTACTGCACTACTTTTCAGAGAGAAATATTGTAATTTATTATCCACTGCATGTTTCTGACAGCTATAGTTGCTGGTTACTTTTAGATTAAGATTTTACACTATTAACACAGACAGTATATAAGGAAGTTAACATTAGCAACACTGTGACCAACCCCATTGTTAAAATGCTGCTTATTGGTGTCAAATAAGATTTATTTCAGTCAAGTTTTATTTTGTGCATGTGTGCAAGTTTATTGAAATAATCTACATGCAAACAAGTTACATTACAAGTTAATTAATGGTAATGCAAAAAAATAAATGTGTATTCTGTTGCGTAACCTAGATGAGGAACTTCATAATATGATGCACGCTGCCTGTAATGATTTAATGTTAATTAAGATTGACGGACTGATATGATGCAAGGTAGTGAAGTGATCACTTTCAGTCAATGGTGTTCAGTTGTCCTACTGTTAAAGTGGATCCCGTGCTATTGCTTTACCCACAACCTGAAGGTAGTTTTAATGCAGCAATAATAATCAGATATGATGTAGGATGCAGCACTGACAGGGCCAGGGGGCAGTCTGCCTAATGAATATTTCAGCTTTTGATACTCTAACATACACTTTACCACTGCTACAGTACATTTAAAGGACCAGTGAACCATTTCTAACCTCTCCTTAATCCCTCCACTATTAGTGAGAGTAGAGGAACTAAATAAACTGTCATGGTGGCTGTAGGTCAGCCTGAGCTGAATATCTGCTCTTTGTGTAGATGGGATTAGGATCAGAGGGCAGTTATGATACAGATAGGATTTACTGACATCTAGTGGTGCAGTTTTAGACTGCAACTCTGTCGCTTCACCCTCAGCTTCCAAGTGTAAAAGGAGAAACTACGGTGGCAGTGAACGCCCGCTATCTAGAGCCAGTGTTTGTCCCTTCTGAGCTACTGTAGAAACATAGCGGATCTGCAATGTCTGTAGATATAAAAAGGTTTATTCTAATGTAACAAAAGCACAATAATTCCTATATTCGGGTGATTATACACTATTGATAACATGCCTATGAATATTATATTCCAGTTAAATCATCCTAAATGTTACACACTGGTCCTCTAATTAGGATTAAAGAATGAAGGGGCCAGTAGGTTTATTAAAGCACAGCCTGATACAAATCCAACTTTTTGCACATTTTATTGTGTAGCTTATTTATACATGTCAAGTCCTTTATAAACTAAGAGAGAAGAGAAATTCATTTGAACTTTCAATTCTCTCTTCCAGAGACAACAAGACTCAAATCAGGAAAATTCAACATTAAAATCAAGAAAGCTGAAGTTTTGTGACTGACAGTCCATCTACAGCTGGTGCCCAAAGATAAGGCTGAAAATCAGAGAAGTGGCCTATGTGACCGAAAATAATAGTAACTTTCTGGTCTAATCTCGATCTTACTGCTGTGGTTTAGTGTTTGCACACATGGTAATATTACTAAACCACAAGCCACCACTAGCTATGCCTTTAGCGTCGCATTCTGGTTTAAAATTACAGGTGTCAGCTGCCAGGTAGCACAGGTACTTCCCTCATGAAATTAATATTTTTCAAAATTTCCATAATAGGATTCACTGCTTGGTCACATTATCCAGGAAGGAAGGAAGGAAGGAAGCATGTTAATGTGCAATAAAACAATAAGCCCATATGTGCAATCGAACTTTGGACTTTAATCCCAATGATTCACACATTAATTGATTAAATGTAATATAGAAAATGAAAATGACTCAGAGAATTACTACAAAGAAGTGCTTTTTCTAAATCTCCATACAGTATTAGCAGGTATTTTTCATTTTATCATCTTTGTACCCTCTTTTTTTTAATGGGGGCTTTTATTGCCTTTAATCGATAGTGACAGCTGAAGAATGACAGGAGAGACGGGATGACACGCAGCAAAGGGCCACAGGTCGGACTTGAACATGGGGCACCAGCCCTACCAGGTGAGCTGTCTGGGCGCCACTGTACCATCTTGAAGTATCTGGCAGTCAAGGTACTATAGTAACCCTTCTACCAAGCTGTTAGGTTCTTCCCTGAACTCCAAGGAGGAATTATGCAATAACTTCCTCTATATGCTGTTTTGTACACAAGATCTCACAACAGAGATAAACAACCTTGTCTATTGCACAACAAATATCCACCAGCGTGATGGGGCATGTAGACACATGGGTTAAAATCCTGCATCTGTTAGCATGCCACTGTCATTATTTCCTGTTGGGCTGTGGTGTTTCCAAAGAAACAAACATTAACTCTAAACAGAATGACTGTACACTTGATACAATTCCAAATTAAACCAGTTCCCTGATAAGTTTCACATTTATGGATGGGTAGCCAGTAGTCACCTATGGCCATGATGAAGACTCCTTGGACAGAAAGGTTAATATTTAGCAGCAATAGCTTTCTGTTTGCTATTAACCCCATATTAAAATAAGCTTTAACATGTGTAATATTTGCAATTAGTGGCCCAGAAACTGCAAATGTGTTATAACAGAGGACCGGCAAAGCAGCCGATCAGAGGTGGAGATGGTAATAAACCCGTTATAGGATATTAACACTTCCACGACCTGATGTAGAATTTGTAAAGGAGGATGTAAAGTATCACACAGTATAGTACAGGAGTCAGCAACCTGTGGCCCTTTGGCCCCCCTCCAGTGGCTCCCTGTGGCTTTGACATATGGACACGTTTTTTTTTTTAACATCATTGTATTCTTACATTCTCAAGCTGTAGAAATGTGAAGCCATAACACACCAAATAACATAACATCATATTTTGCAAACAAAAATATATATAATCAAACATTACGTCCCTACCTGGCGCCGTTTCCTCTGTATTTTAAGAGAGTGGCTCCTAGTCTTGAGTCTCGTTATCTCTGGATTCCAACTCCAAAGAAAGAAAAGTCTGGGAGGAAAATGGAGAATTTAATAGTGCGTGGAGAGATTAGTTTGCTTTCACCAACAACAATGCTGGCTATGTTTGAACTGTGGTGAGAAATTTGCATAAGAAGGCTGTGAAAGATCACATGTGATTTGCAGCTCCAGACAGATTTTTCTCCTTTTTTGGGGGGGGGGGAATGTCTCTCTGGATAATATAGGTTGACCCCAGGTATAGTACTTTCTCTGTGCTGTAGGCAAGCTTGGGAAGTAATGGATTACATGTAACTGAGTTATGTATAAAAAAGACATTATGAGATTACAGGTAAAATGGGGATTAATAGCAGGATGATATTAAAATACATCAGTTTTTCTTTAATAAAACAGAGCAGAGGACACAAAAATCTTCCGGGAAATAATCAAGTTACTTAATTATTGTGATACTTGGATTACGTAACTGACTGTTCCTGATCATTAACATGACTCATTAGTTTTGAGAAGTTTGTTCCCTTCTGTTATCTTGATTCACACAAGGCTGTATTCTCATCAGCGTGGACTTACCCAGTCCACTTTTGGGGTGTCAAGTCAAGTTTGCTGAAGCAACACATGTCAGATTTCACATGTTTGTTATCGCACATAAGAACAAGACCGTGCAGTCCACGGGGAAATGGTTTCACACTAAAAACCTCATAACACCAGGGAACTTCTGCTTCTGGGATTTTTTTTAACCGCCTGTGATTACTGGAGTTGTTGTAAGCACAGTATGCACACAATTTACTGGACCTTGCAGTAGTGATATTAGATGTTATTTTAACAATGATGAGTGTGAATGAGGTTGAAATAAATCTATGCCAACTTCTGCTGCTTGGCATTTATTATTGCATAATAACCCTTTACAGCACACCACTACCTTATGTATTCCCACTAACTGATGTCATTAGCACATTAGCACATTAGTCATGTTAAATAAGAATTTACATTACCTTGATGTAGTCCAGCATCATAAATGTGATCTGTTTGTCATGTAAACATATATTCAGCATACTTTTCCTTTAAGTCCTGAATGTGACCCCAGTTTAGTTGAATTGAAACAGTATGAATCCCTGATTCCCAGATATGTAGTCATGTAAAGAACCCCAGAGGAACCCCCTCCCACCTACCCACTACCATCACCATATCACCACCACCTACGCTCCCACCCCCTCTCTCTCTCTCTCTCTATCGCTTTCAGTCCCAGTATTTAAAAGGCTTCTCAGAGGCTAAACTGAAAGTGTTACTGGTGCAGCAGTGGAGTAGAGCAAGATGTTGCAGATCTACATACTCTTTGGCTTGTTGTTTAAAGGTAAGTGACACTGGAAGGGAAACACCTTTATATTCACTGCAGTCTGTTTTTTGTTTTTTTTAGATACAGTAGTTACAGTCACTCTTACCTTATAATTGAGACATTATTTATCTTTTGAAGTTTTTTACTTGTATTCTTTTTTTACTCCTGACTTTGCCCTCCGGGGAGCAATAACGGCTTATCTTATCCTGTATCTTTAAATCGATATGTAATGGGAGTTTTATAAACAAACAGTATGTTTCGTTTTATTTATGTTCAGATGTCTTGGATGTTATTTTAAATCCAAAAATCCCAATATATATTTTTATTCATGGTCACAGTTTTATCCATTTTGGTATTAATTGATGCAAAATAACAAACTGACTTACCGACACTTCTTTATTTTCAGCCTCAGCGTCTCAGATCACCGGTTATGGAAATGGAACAGCTGACTACGGCGGGGAGGCGCGATATAAATGCATATTAGCAGATCCAACAGGTGCGCAGTAAACTGCTTTTTTTTATTTTTGTACAGTGAGGATGCAACCAGCGATGCAGGAAGGATTCACATCCTACCACACTGTAAAAGATACTCTGTTGGGAAGTTAAAGTATTCCTGCCTGCAATGAAAATGTTACTGAAGTACAAGTTTGTGAATAGAATGAGATTGTTATTATATTATATTATATTATATTATATTATATTAATGATTATTAATATTCATGCATCAGTGTAAAAGCTGGATTTTACTGTTGGTTGAGGTGGAGCTCATTTCAAGTATTTTGTATGGGACAATTGATTATTTTAATTATATTATGTTATTAATTGGTTAATTATTTCTTCATTAATTGATTAATTGTTTTAAAATTAGAAAATAGTGAGAAATGATGAGCCAGAGCCCTTCCCGAAAATTGTTTTGTACAACCAAAAGACTAAAATTCAAAATTATTCAAAATAAATTATAATTATTGAAATATTTGATCAAAAAGCCAGCTGCCAGTGGGCTACCATAGCTGCCAGTTCATTTTCTGTCAATGGACTTATTGATTAATAGAGTTATTGTTTATTTAGAGTTTGTTTATAAATAGAGTTATTGTTATTTATAAACATTCATAGGTTTAATATGCACAATGTATTTAATTAAATTAATTTATAAAGAAACTAAACTAAACTAAACGTACTAAAGCTGTCAGATGAACAGTAATTCTCTCTGAGATGTGTTGGAGTAGAAATAGAAGGTGGCATTAGAAGAAAGTACAAATACACTACTAATTTGTACTTATACAGTACTAGAGTAACTTAGTCACATTTTTAGCTGTGTTACAGTACATACTGATTGGAGGATTACTGTGTCCCACAAGGTGTGCTCCAGGTCACGTGGCAGAGGCTTTTCAAGGATGACTCCATTGAGAATTTAGCAACCTACAGCAAGCGGTTTGGACTGCAAGTAAATGAGCCCTACGTGGGGAAAGTGATCTTAGCGGAAGCGTCCCTCACTTCAACATCCATCCTTGTAAAGAATGTAACATGGGAAGATGAAAGCTGCTACATCTGTTCCTTCAATGTGTATCCCGATGGGTCCAAAAGGAAGAAGACCTGCCTCACAGTGCAAGGTAAACTGTAACATGATATTAGGTCTTGGAAGCCCAAAATTTAGACGTTTTCCTTCCAGTTCTGATCATTTTGGAACTAAAGCATTCAAGTTATCAAATAATCTTTGGCAGAACATCTCACAGCATGGCTGCAGCCCTCAAACTGACCAGGTTTTACTCTCTATGAAGGAATATCCAAGGTGAATACAGGAGTGCAACTCGTCAGCAGCGAAAACGAGGAAAGAGACATGGAGGAGGTTGTGTTCAGCTGCTCTGCAACAGGAAAACCAGCCCCAACCATTCAGTGGGCCATCTCACCTCACCTCACCAGCTTAGACCAACTACAGTCGACAGTAGCCAACGGCGACCACACATTTACCAGCTCCCGCAACATCACTCTGAAAGTTCCTCTGGACTGGAAGGGACATGTGGATTGCATGCTGAACAGTGGAATGATTGGACAAAGGCGCGAGAGGATCCCCTTTTCTTCAAGTCTTGGGAAGATTAAAAAGGAGGGTATGTATATCAGTCATTTTATATATAACAACCACTAGTGTGTGTATTAATGTAGCTGTAGAGTTTCATAGTGTATGTCTCAAACTGGTTTCTGGCTCATTAGTAAGAGAACCGCCCAGGAAGTCCCAGTGCAAATATTATTCTAGTGTACTGAGAAGATTGGTTATCAAGAAAACTCCCAGTATTTTTACAAACCATGCTTACTGACAGGAACTGATTGTTAAACAGTGGAAGAAAGGGACAGAGTCAGTACAACCCATCTCTGGATCTATAGGAAGTGACCTGTGTAGGAAGTCCCAGTGCCTGTCACAGCAAATTCCCAGCTTTAGTTATCCTCACTGACAGAAAGGGATGTTACAAATCCACCCCACCGTTTCCACCTTTTGTGATAAGGAGTTTATAATCAGTAGATCTGATTTTGGAAAAATGAAAAACATGATAGTTTCTTAGGAAAAAAAAGTCATCCAAGCATCTAATTGTTCTCCTTGTGTCTGGAGTAAAGTTCATGTTATGAATATAATTGTTTGTTTAGACAAAGGGAATCCATCCAGTGTTACTGTAATAAATGGTAACATGATTTCCTTGATAGTCCATATTCTGGTAACAGACGAGTGACATTGTTTACTGAAGCAGGAAGCAGGAAAGTCCCAAGAACTCTCTTAGAGAGGTAGTCTGGGAATTGTAGTGAGTGCACTGAATGAATGTGTATTCCCCTCAGTGTGACTAAGAGCAAAGGATTGTGCTCATCCCTGGGCGTCAGCTGGGCAGTGACGCATTACATTCAGTTTCACTTCTTGTTAGGTTTCATTTCAAGAAAAAACCTGTGTCACTGTACAGTGAGTGGTAAACATTAGCTCTCTGGGGAGGTAATCTGTCAAATCTGTCAGGGAAGTGAAGTCTCTGCATGTAATAGTAAGAGTGTTAAAGTAAAAAATTTCCCACCTTCCTCTTTTTAGGTAAATGTAATTCACTTTATTGCTGTACACACTGACCATGTGCTGTTTTTTCTCCAGGGAAAGGACTGTCTCAGTCAGGGGTTGCAGTTATAGTTTGTGCCATGCTGTTAATTTCCTGCTTTGCGGTTGTTGCTGGAATAAAGTTTAAAAGGTAAGGTGCAATTCTCCTTATGGGCAAATATAACTCCCCAGTGACATAATATCTAATCTATGTGTAATTATCTGCATGCAGTATAATAAACTCTTTCTCTCTCCCTGTCAGGTCAAAGGGCAACACACAACAAAATAATACTTGCACGCAACTGCCGTCATCTGTCGTCTGAGGTCCTAACCAGAGCAGCAGTTCTGCTCTTTGAGGTTAAAATGCAACAAAACAAATGAAACACACATTTGACCTTTCCTGTAGTCATCTTATCACAGTGAATATTCAAGCACGCAAGCATTATACAAATACTTTAGCTGTGTAACAGTGAATTAAGCTAAGATCAATTTTCCACAGGTCATCACAGCACATAATAGTGTTTTGAAAACGAACTAATTCACATTTCTTTTAAATAGTAAAACCTCAGCACTTTAACTTTGTTCATGGAGCTTTAAGCAAAGCGTTGCTTCAGGCTTTGCAGAATGTAAAAGTACAGGGAACATGACCGATGTTTCATAGGAGTATTACAAGACTTGCTTCTAAGCAACTCTGAGGTGACAAGTAAATGACAGTTTACATTGAAGCAGAATGAATCAAGAATGTACAACTTTTAATCAGTTTACTCTTATTCAGGGTGACTGTGCAATAGTGAAGCTTTTCTTCTGGCAGATTAGAACAAGCTGATGTGTTTTGGTGACAGATGGGAGTTGAAAATGAGGAACTGTGTGAGTCAGTAATGTGACAGACTGGGCTCCTGCCCAGTGCCATCTAATGGACTTCCTTGTATGTGCGAAACAGAGAGGGGAGACAATATATAATAACAACAATAAAGATTGTGTAATCTATAAATGTGACATGTGGAAAGCCAATCAGGTTTTATTCCTAAATTCTTATTTTATATTTATTGAAAAGGTTTAAATTTAGACATATTACATAAGTAGACATATACTTTCTCCGCTGTGAATATGTTATATAATTTTAGCATTTCTCTTCTCTATCTCAATGTCTTATTTTTTGTATTTATGTTAAATGGAGCCGCAACATAACTGTATGGTTGTATCTGTCGCCGTGTTGTGTTAATATTCTGTCTTTCATCAATGTTCTATTTCCCTGGTCAAACATTCTCTGGATTATAACCTATTTTTTTCATGAACGTCAATTTCTTGAATCTACTCAGTGATATTAAATATAAAACTAGCCGATAGATATTATATATCTATCTCTATATATATATAAGTTAATTTGTATTTTCATTTGTGTTCATATGTCTCTGTTTGATGTGCATTATGATGGGCTTATAGTGATTCTTATTGATAAAATAAAATCCTATAATCATGACAAAATGTGCATTTATATGTTACTGGTGGTTGGAAGTCTCAGAAATTGTTAAGGATGGTAGTTATGTTCTATATTATATATCATTCTAATAAGCATTTAAAGGGGGATTTTTTCTTCGCGGGGTTTGCAGCTTCACTCACTTCCATAACGTTTCCCATGGCAACAGAAGGAAAAAATTGCCTTGCTCTTGTGTGAAGTAAACTCCAACATTTTTCAACTTTCTGCGAAGATATATGTGACTTTTTTTTTTGCAACGAAAATGCAGATATTATGAAATCAATGCAAGCCCCCGCATAT